AAATTATTATGTCTGTGAATGACACAGTAAACAGTAAATACTCCATGGACTGATTTCTTCAAGAAGTTCATAAATCCACGTTTCCGACCTGCCATCGACGCTGCCCCATCTGTTGCACAGGCAACTGTATTGGTCAGAGAGATCTGTTTCTCCTCGAAAAATTCTTGGACCACTTTGAAAATGGACTCGCCTTTGGTATCTGTTTCCAACAGTTTCGCAAAAAACAATTTTTGCATTATTTTCTCACCCTCTATGAACTGATATCCAGTTAAAGGCTGAGCTCACGTCCTTTCAGCATTTTGCACTGTGATTCCTCAACATTTGCTGTCATCTCATCAATACATCTTTGAATGGCATTGTCACTAAGTGGGAGAACTTTCAACACAGGCTCCGGGGCACGTTGCAGGACTGTGCTGACCACCTCTCTAATCGCAGGTATGAGTTCCTCACCAATAACAATAGCATGGTGTTTGCCTGCTTTTGTAATTAGCTGAGATAAATTATATGTTGCTCGTAAGCCTTCATCAGCTTGATCCACGTTGGCTGCAAACATCGGTTTGACTGATTTTCATTTCTGAAAATTGATCTTTAGAGTTTTGAAGTATGCCAGATCTTTGTCAGATTTGTCGTGATGAATCTTCTTTATATGGGATTTGCGGGCTGGGAAAGAAAGTTCTTAGTTATAAGTAGCATTGTAAACTATGCCTCAGCTATCTATTTTTGTTTTTGTTTTTGTTTTTTTTATGTGGCTTTTTCCCTTCATCATGTTTTATGTTGCTTGTCAGGAATTTTCGAAGTGTTCAGCATTTGGTGTTTTGTAGCAAAAGAACACAGAAACAAAGATCTGAATTACCCCCATTTCACCGAAACCACGCACTCGGAAGGCCACGAGTCGGCTTACGTGACGTGTTTACGCTACCTGATTATACGTTTGCAATAGCACCATAAACACACGAGAGTACACACACACACACACACACACACACACACACACACACACACACACACACACACACACACATACAAAAACACCAACACACACATATGCACATGGACCGCCCCGGTGGCCTCTTGGTAAACGAATTTTTAAAGTCAACCCAAGTGTAAAACTGAAAGATCAACAGACGATAGCAGCTTGCAGGGCACACCCACACAGTCAGCTGTTTACGTAAACAAGCTTGAAGTGAGCTAAAAGTTACCGTTTTTACTCCGTTTTAACAATCAGATTTGTTTACATTTCAGACCATTCATGCTCGAAAAGGGGTCAAAATCTAGAAATAGTTGCGAATGAAAAAGATAAGATAAGATAAGATAAGATAGTTCTTTATTATCCCAGAGGGAAATTTTCCTTGGCTGTACAGGACTGTAAAAACACATGCAGGTATACATTTAAAAAAAATTAAATCATATATATTACTCTCATTAAAATTCAATATGAAAGGAGAAGTAAAGCTGACAAAATGTACATATCAAATGCATCATTCAACCACATGCAGGAATTTAAATACTAGACCTTTGGAGTTATATACAGATACATACTCTAAGAGCAACACACTATATGCTCATTCTGACAAAAGCCTTATGCTAGATTGTAAAAGACTTCTTTTTATATCTTTCTTTCTTTGTTTTTGGAGGTACATATCTGCCGCTGCGTGATCTTACAATTTGTGTGGAAAGGGTGTGTGATGGGTCGTTTATAATGCTTTTTATCTTTTTTATACGTGTGGTGTTATACATTTCATCCATTCTTATAAAATCATATCCAGAGATCTTGCTGGCTTTCTTAATGGTTCTGTCAAATTTTTCTTTATCTTTCACCTTACAATTCCGACCCCAGCAGCAAATACAAAATAATAGCACACTTTCATTCATAGAATGGTAAAAAAGGGACATAATCTTATTGTCAACACGGAAACTTTTTAATTTCCTTAAAAGAAACATTCTTTGATTTACTTTTTTATGCACAAGAACAGTGTGGGGATGCCAGTCAAGTTTGTGGTCGATTGTTACACCAAGATACTTGTAAGAGCTTACCACCTCCACTTCTTCATCTTTAATAAATAGTGGTGGCAATTGGTCTTTTTTTACTCTAAAGTCTATTATTAATTCCTTTGTCTTTTTTACGTTTAGTATAAGGAAGTGGTTATCACATCAATTGGTAAATAGGTTCACAGCGTCCCTGTATTCATTCTCATTTGTTGTTATAAGGCCTTGTAAAGTGGAATCATCCGCAAATTTTATTAGTTTGATGTTTTTGTTATCAAAAGTGCAGTCGTTGGTGTAGTGCGTAAACAAGATAGGGGAGATTACACAGCCTTGGAGCGCACCGGTGTTCATGAATATTAGGTCGGATTTTACATAATTAAATTTTACATATTGAGGTCGATTGGTTAAGAACTCAAGAATCCAAACTATATTGTTCTTGTTTATGTTCATGTTAATTAATTTTGAAACTATTACGTGCGGCTTGATTGTGTTGAATGCGGATGAAAAATCTGCAAAAGTATCCTGCAGTAATTTCTTGATGTGTCTATGTGTTTGTAGATGTTATCTAAGAACACGAGAATGGCATCCTCCACGCCCCTCTTGGCACGATAGGCAAATTGCATGTTGTCCTGTATGTCTTCTGTTGATTTCCTCAGTTCTTTCAAAACCTGTTTTTCTAATCATTTAATGAGGACTGATGTTAAAGCGACAGGTCTTAGGTCGTTCAAATTCTATATTGATTGTTTCTTTGGGACAGGAATTATTTCAGAGCATTTCCATGAGAGTGGTATTATTCGTTCTTTCAAAGACATGTTGGAAATATCAGTATGAATGGGAGATAACTGAGTAGAACACATTTTAATAATTTTACTTTTTACTCCATCGGGTCCACTCGCTTTGTGAGCTTTCAAAATGTTGGAGCAAAGATTTTCCACTAGTGAAGAATCTTTGGTTGAAGCAAAGGTGGCCATTAGGTAATGGTTCTAAAAATAATCTCACAGGAATCGTCCAACAGGAATGTCCAAGGCTTTCACATTTGCAAACAGTCCTGAAGAACTACATTGAAAGTTCAAGACAGAGAGAGATGTAGCCGTTTTGATAGACCACCAGGGGCGGTTTGTTAACTGGACAAGACCGGTGCCGGTCAAATTTTTGTCAACTGGACAGTTGACAAGAGATTTATTGCTGCTGCTGATTTTCATTCAGTTTTAAGTAAATCCAAACAAACATGTATCAACAGTCAAAATGTGTGTATGTGTATGTGTGTGTGTGTGTGTGTGTGTGTGTGTGTGTGTGTGTGTGTGTGTGTGTGTGTGTGTGTGTGTGTGTGTGTGTGTTGTGGAGGAAGGGGGTGGGGGGGGGGGAGTGAGAAAGAGTCGATGTGAATGACGGCCGGTCAGTTCTATAAACCACGAACCGCCACTGTAGACCACAATGATGGGGCCAGGACTAGGCCTTCTCAGAACTGAGAAAGCCTAGGGCCAGGAGCAAGTTCATCCTCATCAAAAGCTTCCTCTTCACTACAATCACTCTCTCGATATGTTCCATCACTATACTTGCACCACTAGTGCCTATCAATGTTCGATATGTCTTGTTATGTGTTCAAGAATGTAGATGTCATTGCATTAGGCTATGGTAAACTTGAGAAATTGAGACTAGAGCATCAGGGTATAATATTATTGGAAGGGTGTTCAAAAATCATTTTCTGAGCTCGACGATTGTTGAAACTGGGGTAATGCCGAAACAGCACTCTCATCTCGTTGATAAGACGCTAGCATCAGCAAATGTCATTGAAGGAGGCTGAAACAAAAGAATGAATTGACTGTAGGGATTGATCTAAAATGTCTGTCTGTCTTTCTGTCTGTCTGTCTGTCTGTCTGTCTGTCTGTCTGTCTCTCTCTCTCTCTCTCTCTCTCTCTCTCTCTCTCTCTCTCTTTCTCTCTCTGCGTGCATGCGTGCGCGCACGTGCGTGTGGCGTGTTATGTCTTTGGCCCAGGACCAGTTATTCATTCTTTCACTCATGCTATTTGCCAGCGTATTTTACATGTATGCATTTTTATACAGATAAAGAGATAAAGAGAGTTGGTGGCACGGTTATAATTTTGTTTATTTCTTGTAACTTGTAAAATTTATACTTTTTCGGGAATTGGTTTTCCAGATTCATCTGGAAATTCGACAGCTCTTTCCGAGTTCTCGTTGAGGGCCGTATGATGCGGAGAGGGTTGGGGGGGGGGGGGGGGGGTGCGACTACATGAGAGTGGGCTTTGGCCGAGATCTTCGGTATTTGACCAGCTCTGGCAAGTTCAAGTGCTCATGCACTGTCAGGGGGGTTCATTCACAAAATGTTGATTAACTTGAATTTGAACTTAGTTAATTAAACGTGTTTTAAATTGCTCATGCACGTACCCAGTAATCTAGTTGCACTATAATGTATCATGACATCACATATAATTCTCAGTTAAACAATTATGAAAACAGCCATAGATCTATTACCTGTGACTTATTTACAGCAATTATCAAGTCCGAACTGTGTTTGAATAGCCATTTGGCGAAATTAGAGATCACAATATTCAAAATGATGTATAATTAACATTGATTGATTTCTGAGCGTGTGGAGAACTAATTTATGCCCATCACAAAAAGGACAGGGGAAAAACTTGAGTGGGTTTTTTTCACTTGGAAGAAGGAGGTGTCCTCTTTGTGAGTGCTTTTGAACATGTTCTGCTACTGAAAGGGACATAAGACCTTCATCTAGGTAAAGTAGACATTTCAAAGTAGGCCTACTTCAGTCCAATTCCGATCTGAGACTAAAAAATTACGTCACTTGACCATGGCCTTACCCCGCATGCACAATTAGTAGGTTGCACCTGCACCCTCCCTTTTTTTTCAAAAAACGAGTAGCAGCAGATTAAGCTGATAGGCTGCTTGATACTGATAATTAAGCAAATTAGTCAGGGGACATGATTCTGGAAATTGTTTCCCTCCTAGTACTGTCCCCTGGGTTCAATCAACGTTTTCGACTTCCGGCTTATCGTTGTTTGCCTGAGGTTCGAAAACAAGGCTCTGACCACGAAAAATAACAAGGTAAGCCTTACTTTACAACCCTCTCGTCGTTGGTTTAGGTCTAGATCTACATCTAGATCTAGATCTAATGACAATGATGTCAATGGCTTAACAGACTTAGATCTAGATCTAGATCTAGATCTAGATCTAGATATATCTACATCTAGATTTATAGATCTAGATTCTAGATCTAGATTGTAGATCTAGAATCTAGAGAATAGAGATCTAAAATTTCCTTTTAGTTTAGGTAGGGAAGACTTCCGGGCGCTTTTTCGGTAGTTCCCACCCCGCAATTGTTATTCACGGGTTTTGGCCCCAAGAGTAGGGGGGTTTCAGGGGGGCTTGCCCCCTGACCTAACAAAAATAGGAAGGGGGGTTTCAGGGGGGCATGCCCCCCTGAATTTTACCACAATTTAATGTTTTGCTGTTGTTAGAAGGTTTGATATCTTGTCTTAGCTCACCGCGAATCAAACGTATAGTATAGATCTAGATCTAGATGTAGGTCAGGCTCAAATAAGGGGGGTAGGAACTACCGAAAAAGCGCCGACTTCCGTAACGAGCGACCACTAGATTCTAAATCTAGAATCTAGATCTAGATCTAGAATCTAGTCACTAGGAGACAGAGTAGTAGGCGCTTTTTCGGTAATTCCCACCCCGCATTTGTTATTCGCCGGTTTTGGCCCCAAGAGTAGGGGGGTTTCAGGGGGGCTTGCCCCCCTGACCTAACAAAAACAAGGTGGGGGGTTTCAGGGGGGCATGCCCCCCTGAATTTTACCACAATTTAATGTTTTGCAGTTGTTAGGTTTGACATCTTAGCTTGCCGCGAATCAAACGTAGATCTAGATGTAGGTCAGGCTCTATCAAATAAAGGGGGTGGGAACTACCGAAAAAGCATGCCCCCCATGAATTTTATCCTAATTTAATGTTCGAAGTGACTATTTCTCCGAACGTTCGGAGAAATAGTGCCGATCTTTATTTCTCCGAACGGCTTCCGGTCTCGTGATTTTTTGCCTATTTATTGCGAGAGTTCGGCGCCAACTTTCATTCTGCCTCTGGCGGCCGGAGTCTGGCCTCTGGTCTGGGACTGGGAAGGAACACCGCATGGCAAACCCACCTACAGACAAACTTCTGTAACACCCACCACCATCATGCACATGTACACACACAAACTTATACACACACTAACTAAACATGATCAGTGAGCAACTTTTGAACGTATGACGAGCTGAGCTGTGGATGGAGAGACAGTGTGAGTGACAGAGCAGGTGAAAGGAAGAATGTAGGAGTGTATCCACAGGCGACAGCAACTACAAGGCGACGACACCGACCCCCCTGGCCTGGTCCACAGCTCACGAACGAAAGGAATGCGGCTAAGGCAGTGTTTTGCTAATATTATTGTCCATGGTTCGCAGGGTGCAAGGGAATGAGTGAGATTTTCTTTGTGTGTGCCTGGAGGGAGGGGGTGGGGTGTGAAAGTCATGCGGACGGGGATGAGCCGCGGGAGAGAACACGAGAATTGAATGAATGAGTGAAACTGAAAGAGAGGAACGACTCATGAGCCCTGGAGTGAATGGATCCTGTGTTTCTATTTTTGTATACTTTGAACTGTTACTGAATAAAAGGCTGAAATAAAGCCCGAAAAACAAACACACACACGCTCCTCACTCTCCACTTAAACACTTACTACCACACACAGACACTCACACACACACATGCATACACACACACATACACACACACACAGGACCAAATTTTTAGGTCTATATCTATTTCAATTTTCAAGAGCTGGTCTAGAGATTTTTAGATGAGTGTAAAAACGTGAAAAAGAAAGGTTTCACAACAGAATGAAATAAAAATTAGAACAGCCCATAAACAACCACAAAAATTAACAAATAAGGGCGTGAGTCCACCTGTCCGAAGAAGATTGGCTGTTTTAACCCTAAATGTGCGTAATTTTAAAACAAAGTACAGGATATTACATGTAAATTATGGAATCACACACATTAAGGGGCCTGCCAGTGTCAGTACATGTAATCGGTTTTGGTGGAACGTACGCTCTAACATAACACATTTAAATCTATATATATATAATATACATGTATATATATTTAGAATCTAATGAAGGTAGGAACATCAAATTAAATGACGTTACACTATACAACATCCCCCCCCCCCCCTTTTTTTCCCCAACAAAAAAATTTATAGAAAAACAACACATCAGAACAAGAACAAGAAAGAAAAAAATACACACTAACAAATTAATAAAACACCACAAAGAGGGAAAAATAAAAGTAACTAACGTATTCAACAAATCAACGTCGTGACAACAAGTGAGAAAGAGATGAAGTGAAGCTAAGTGAACTTTCTTTCAAAAGTAAAGAGGTTTGGTTTCTTTCTTTTTTAATTTTTATTTGACTTTTATTCCCCGATTTGGGGACCAAAAAATGCAAAAAAATCGAGCCACGATTGATTGGTCGCGGCCGCGACAAACGCAGATGCTAGTTCTATGTGTCGTTATCATTAACCCTCCGTAGATCTAGATCTAGACAGCACACGAGTGAACACAACACATTAAGTTTAAGAGCAGCACCCTTCATAGGCAACACGTCATAATATCTATCTGTAGCGAAAAACTGTTTGGAACTGTAGCATTTCTTTATATATAAATATTTACTGCGGACATTTTTTGGACCGATTGAACCATATTGTATATGAACAATCTTTGGTAGGCCTATACTATAATTATAGGTCTTTATAATATCCGAAATTTGCGGGAAAGGATGTGATTTCAGAGTGTTCGGAGAAATAGTGCCCAGCTTTATTTTCCCGAACGTTCGGAGAAATAGTGCCGGCCTTTAATGTTTTTCAGTTAGGTTGCACCCCTGCTCTTTGTGTAGCCTAATTCAAATAGTATTTGGTCTTCAAGACTTCTGGATTTCTTCTCTGGATGTAAACAAATGGATCGTGGACTTTAACGAACAGAACTACAAGATCACCATGTAGGGATGGGGGTAGAGGTAGAGGTAGGGTTTAGGGTTAGCCCTAGAAGCGCTCAGTGTTTCACCAGAAGTAACCCGCCAAAAATGCCCCACCGCCACGGCGGTTGGTTGTAAACATGGGGGTATGGCTGGGGGCAGGGGTGGTTTGTTAACTGGGCAAGACCGGCAGTGCTGGTCAAATTCTTGTCAACTGGACTGTTGACAAAAGGGCTGGATTATACTTTCGAAATGACTATTTCTCCGAACGTTCGGAGAAATAGTGCCAATCTCTATTTCTCCAAACGGTTTCCGGCTTCCGGACTCGTGATTTTTTGCCTATTTGCGAGAGTTCGACGCCAACTTTCATTCTGCCATTCTGCGAGGGCCACCTCTATTCTCACCTCGGGTGAGAATAGTGCAGGCGAGTCTTTTGGCTATTCTCACCCGCTGGGCGTTCACCGTTTTCGCCTAGGCCAACCAGTGAAGCGTTCACCGTGAACCACAGAATTTTACACTGTGATATAACAGAATTATAGAACGAAGTGGCTAGCCGTACTTAAGTACGACTAGACTGCCAGTCTCGCCGTACTTAGATCTAGGTTTGGCCCTATCAACTCAAGCCTGTTAAGTACACAGGTCTCATTAGATCTAGATCTAGTAATTCAGGTTCAAATACATGCAAGTCAGTAAGGCACCTTTGGTTTTGTCTGAAATACAAATACTTTAGGCATTGCAAACTAAAAATTTCATTTACAATTCAGCCATCAATATTAAGTACGGCTAGCCTGACAGTCTAGCCGTCCTTAAGTACGGCTAGACTACCAGTCTAGCTGTACTTATCTTAGGCCCTATTAACATTAGAAAACAGGAGGTTTAAAATACATGCACTATCATTGCCACTGGATGGATGGCATCAGACATGCATTGGGTCCGCCATTGAAATTGGCACAAAATCAAACCTAAGGAAAACGAGGGGGCATACAGAAAGTACCTTGATTTGTACAATCAACTCATTCCTGCCCCCTCGTTCGTCAACCTGCCCGTACCAGCAAGCTGGAACTCTATGGTTTCAACACAGAGAAGCGGGCTCAGCCCCTAAGTTATTATTACAATCTGTATTATTACCTGTCCTGGGCAACAACATCATTGCACACCGGACAGGTCCATAAGTGCTCAGTTCCCCCCAGCACCAAAGCCCGCATGTCTTAGGGGCAAAGTACAAAGCATGGGAGGAGGCGAAGAAATTGGATGAAGAGAAGAAAAAAGGAAGAAGTGGAAAAGAGGAAGAGAGAAAGGGAGGGAAAAGGGTGGAGAAGGAAGAAGAGGAAAGTGGAGAAAAGTTAACGAAGTTGGAGAAGCGAGATGTCAAAGAGTGAACTAAAGCATTTTACATTCCTGTGCGGAAGTGGCTATTCTCATCCGGGGTGAGAATAGAAAAACGATCGTCCTCTCACCGCGGGTGAGACTTGCCAGCGTAGGCTATTCTCACCCGGTGCGAAACAGGACCTGCTTTTCCTCATTTTGGAATACTGTCTATCAGTGTGGATGATCAAATTGATAAAAGCCAAGAAAAAATTACGTTATAGCACAAAAGTAAGCTAATTTGATCGTCTTCAAAGATGCTATGGCTATTTCACTGTGTGCCCTGAGTGGGATTAAGATGTTCATGTGATATGTGTGAAAGAGTAAAGTGAAGCTTTCATGTATGTGTGTGAGTAAGATGTTCATGTGAGTTTGTTGTGATAGGTGAGGAAGAGTAAAATGAAGCATTCATGTACCTGTGTGTGAGGAAGATGTTCATATAAAAGTTTGTGATATGTGTGGAAGAGTAAAATGAAACATTAATGTACCTATGTGTGAGTAAGATGTATGTGAGTCTGTTCTGGTGGTTGTTCTTTTTAGTAGATGTATGTCAATAAACATTAGTTCTGTCTTAGGCCCACTGTACAAAGGGGGGTCGTCTTTGCTTCTTTCTTCTTTTCAAACGCCTAGTTGTGCTTCAATTTGAGTGTGCTGGTATGGGGTGTAGGGCGCGGGTATGGG